GCTAACGGTGCTAACCACCGATCCACCTGCCGCCCTCTGTAAATCGTGTCGGCTGCATTTTGAGAATTTCAGACTTTTTCACACAAATGAAATGTCGCTGTTTTTATTGTTTTAAATAAACATCTTGACTGGAAACCTTATTCAGGGTTCAGTGTCTCCAGAAATACAAAACCTGGAGCCATGACATTTGTTAAGGACACAGACAAAGCCGTGTTCATTTCAAGTTTATGTCCTGGAACATTCAGTTCAGCAAAATAAGCCTCTTACGTTAATAAAGCTCAATATGGAGACAATATGCAAGCAGCTTGTAGCTTTGACGATGTAACAACAAACACCCCTACGCACACCAGGTTCTGTGTCCACATCAACACTTTTAGGAAAAACTACAACAGGTCTTGTTATTGTTGCCACACATCAACTTGTGCTGACGTTAGAGGCGTTAACAGTCGCTGAAATGTCGACTGAAGACTTTATTCTCAGTCAGATAAACACTTTCTGGAGCCTCAGTACCACCCTGGTTTGAAAGAGTCGTACTTTATTCCACTTTCAAGAGCCAATAACTAAACATTTGGCTTCACTGTGATCTACTAGAAACTCTTCTGTGTATTTGCCACATTTCATAGAAGCAGGAGGTAATGTCTGGAGATAGTGAACTCTAAATATGGCTTAAGGTGTTTTTAAAGAGTGAAAATACAAATTCAAAGGCGCAGAACATGGAATTCTCAAAATACAGTCATTTATTTATGTATTTATTTTACAGAACCTGATTTTAGGTCCAATACCAAAATAACTGGACTCTGAGCTACAATCTGAGGCGATGCTACCTCTGCAGATACAGAACGGTTCTCTTGCTCGCCAGCGCTGTGCTGCTCCATTTCCTTTGAAAGGCTAGTTAAGTCTGGAGATCATTTCCTGTCAGCAGCGAGCAGCATTACATCCCCGCTGCTTCAGAGGCCTTCTGCTTTGATAGCTGACTCTCTGAGCCCTGGGCAGGCTGCTGCACTACAGACAGACAGACGTTAGGTTGCACTTCACCTGGCGTACACCTGAGTTTGGACGTGCAGCGTTTGTGTTTGCGTTGCCACAGCAGCCGGCGGGAGAGAGTTAGAGCCTGTTAAAGTTTAATGTTTGCTTACTGCACATGTCACTTGTCGAGCCTCTCGGTTACTGCGGCCTCCGGCTCGGGCCTTCAGATGAATCCTTCAGATCCCACCAACAAATCATCAGCGGGATTAGAGGAGATCCAAGAGGGCGAAGCTGTAACTGCATCTGGGTAATCTGTCTGACCTCACGTTGCACATGCCACAGCACAGGGCTGCACATTTAATTTCCACAAGTGTGTTTCAGCCGGACGGGAGTCGGCCCTAACCCTAACCCTAACCCTAACCGCTCCAGGTGTGCTGCACTGCACCTGAGCTTCATGTGGTGTGTGTTCCACGCAGCGATGTGCACATTTCGAAGGAAAAATAGTAAATTATCTGCATTCCTACTTGCATGCAGCCGTCCTCAGAT